CGCGACAAAATCATGAACATTTCCCGCGGCCGAGCAGATATCATCGTCATCTCCCGCGGTCACGGAAACGTTATCGTCGACGTCCGCAATCCCGGCAAAATCATTAACATTTCCTGCGGCCGTGTAGACATCATCGTCGTCTCCCGCGGTCTTGGAAACGTCATCGTCGTCTCCCGTGGTCACGGTAACGTCATCGTCGTCTCCCGCTGTCACAGAAACGTCATCGTCGTCTCTCGTGGTTTCGGAAACGTCATCGTCGTCGTCCACTATCGCGGCAAAATCGTGAACATTTTCCGAGGCCGTGTGGACATCATCATCATTGGCTTTCGCGGTTACGTAAACGCAAGACGACGATCGCGGCAAAATCATGAAAATTCCCGACTTTGAAATCAAATTTAAGACTAAATCCCGACTTTTCAAGACCGTTTTGAAATTCAATACTAAGTCCCGACTTTCCCGACTACTAGACACCCTGAGATAATTAAATATACTTTACTGTTTGTATTTAACTTTTCTTTCTATCATACTTAGTTTTGTTAAAATTTTGGGTTGAACAGAGTGACCAAATCTCAGTTTTATGTCGCGGCACGGCGAGTAGTGCTGCCCCACAAGCTGAGAGTGTAGTATCGCATAGCTAATAATTATTAATCTAGGCCAACTAAATTATTTTAAGCAGGCTAATAAACCTTTTGGTTATCCTCAAAAACATTACTTTGGTATCAAATATTGCTTTAATATACATTCCCAAACCAGTACAGAATCCCAGCTATAACTGAAAGCTCTACCCGTGTTGCTTATATTTTCCCGTAGTAATATTATTACTGTATTAATAAGTAATATTATTACATAAGTTATTAATAAGTTATTGTAATATTATTATTACAGCCTTACAGCATTGAATGCATTTTGAAGACAGGTTAACAATTTACTACAATCCAACCAACAAGTTTACATGTACCCGGTGCACACTGCACAACTTTAATGTCTTCATAATTAAATACTGAAGCCTAAAACATAAATGTCTTTTAATTTTAGTTTTAATAATTTTGCTGTTAAATTTATAATGAATTTTAAGTATGTGTTTTATTTACTAAGTTATTTATTAAGTTATTATCTAGTATTATGAGAAATAAAAATATTACTTCATTCATTCTGTTATTGCGACACTATTAATAACTAATCTATTCATAATATTCTTGCAACAGACAATCGGAAGGCGGGGCTAGCGGAAACTTTAAACTTAGCGCTCATCAACCAATAGCGGCGTGGCGACCACCATCCTGATTGAATTAGGGGGAATTAGCGAATAACTAAAATTAGCGACAGCATGTATAATTAGCATTGTATAATTGGCACACAAGAAGGATGATCTCAGAGAATTAATTAGAATACTAGTAGAAGAAACAGGAAAATTTGGCTTACAAATTAATGACAGTAAAACAAAATTCATGAAGTGCGGAAGATGGGATGGTAGAGAAGAAAATGATGAAGATGATGATGATATCTTACAGATAGAGAGCCACTCTTTTCAGAAAGTAAATAGTTTTCAGTATCTAGGAGTCCTATTATCAGACAACAATAATGAAGAATTGGAAGTAATAAACAGGTTAAATTCGGCTAACAGGTCCCTCCATGCATGCAATAGATTGTTAAGCTCAAAATTATTATCCCACAATACCAAATTACGTATTTATAAAACAATAATAAGACCGGTTTTACTGTATGGCTCAGAAACATGGGCAATGAGCAAAAAAATAGAAAAGAAAATTATAACATTTGAAAACAAGGTTCTCAGGAAAATATATGGCCCGACGCTCGAAGATGGAATATGGAGAATGAGACACAACATCGAGATTAGAGAGCGCTATAAAGACCCCGACATCATAGCGGAAGTCAAGAAGAGAAGATTGAGATTTGGTCATATTTCGAGAAGAGAGGAAGACTCCACTACGAGAAATGTACTTGATAGAAACCCCGAAGGCAGGAGACCACGAGGCCGTCCCAAACTTAGATGGAAGGATCAAGTACAAAAAGATGTAAGAAGACTGGGAAGGAGTGAAAATGACACCAAAGACAAAGACATCTGGAGGCAGTGTGTGGGCGAGGCCAAGTACCTCTTAGGGCGGTGGGGCACACGGAAGATTTCTCAGGTGCCGTTTGACGTCACTAACTGCTGCGCCTGAAGAAACAGACAATTTTATAATTTTCTATTATTAAATTAAACTGTCATAACCTAACCAAACGTGCTGATAATGGAAAAATCGAAAAAAGGTTTACTAATCTAAAAAATAGTTTTTTTTATCAAATAAAATATTATAAATGCCTAAAATTCAATTTTATAATTTTTTATTATAAAATTAAACTGTCATAACCAAACCAAACCAACCAAACTTGCTGATATGAAAAAATTGTTGATAAAAAGTTAGTGCCGCCGGCGGGATTTGAACCCGGAACATTCGGATTACCAGCCCGCAACGCTATCCACTGCACCACCGAGGCCGATTGCCCAAAACCGTATCGTTGCGGTATTGGTGTTCCCTCAAAGTGACGTCAGCAGTTAGTGACGTCAAACGGCACCTGAGAAATCTTCCGTGTGCCGTTTCGCCTCTTAGGGTACCAGTGGTCACTCCAGTAAGTAAGTATGTATAATTAGCATGCAGTTGTTCTTCTGTGTTGGCTGGTTTTTAGTGACAGTGGTTTTAATGTCAGATATTGATATTTCAGAAATAGCTGAAACTATTCTTATGTATTTGTGGAGTAAATTTAAAGGAAATGGTGTCCAAAATTATTTTGAGAATGAGCAATATTTTGTTAAATAACTACACGAAAGTAAAAAAAGACGAAAATAATAGGCACTGTAACCATAGAAAAATTGCAATCCTCTCTTGAACAAAATAATATTATTTATTGCTTTTGGAAATTTTTACTTTGTTTGTAAAGGCCTAGTAATTGATAAAACAATAGCTTACGTAGAAGCTGTAACTAAATAAAATTGTAAATAGGATTTAAATTTTAAGTGTTTAACGAATAATAAATCATAGAGTAAATACGTAGAAGAGACAAAAGAAAAGTACAATAATTATAGGCCTAATACTTATATGTTCAATGTACCGTAAGAGGTTTTAGAAAATATTGAATTATATTCTGGTATTGACATGAAAGCCTCGTATAATTCTCTCCTTCTTCTCCTACACATCAGTGTTGTCAGATATAAAACATCTAAATTAATAGATAATTTGCGTGCTTGTTCCAATCCTCCGCGGCTCGAGCGCGAGCGTTCAGTGGTGTAGAGTAGCAGTAGCCATTCAGCCATCCCATGCGGTGTATTGACACTATTCAATGTATTTTGTACAAGAGATGAATAAAGTAGTTTTGAATTGAATTGAATTGCCACTTCAAACGCCGCGGCCTGTAGTTAAAGGAGGCCGTGGTTCAACCCCAGTTGGTACGTTTGTTCCACCATCTTCTAGATTCGAACACATCCATATTGACCTAGTTGGCCCATTACCTGTTTCGGAAGGTTACAGGTTAAATTGGTTGGCTTGTGTTGACAGATTTACACGTTGGCCTGAAGCAGTTCCACTTGAGAACATAAAAGCTGAAACTGTAGCTCGTGCATTGTTCACCAACTGGATTTCAAGGTTTGGAACACCACTGCGAATAACCACAGATCAAGGTTGACAATTTGAATCGTCTCTTTTCCAACACCTAACATCTTTAACTGGATCAACACGTCTGCGAACGACTGCCTATCACCCTGCTGCCAATGGACTTGTTGAACGCTTTCATCGACAACTCGAGGCAGCCATAAGGTGTCACACAACAGATCGTTGGACCAAAGTATTGCCAGTGATCCTGATGGGGATCAGAGCTGCGTGGCGTGAAGATACTCAAGCTTCCTCTGCAGAACTCGTGTATGGTCAACCTCTACGACTTCCTGGAGAATTTATGACACCCAGCCAAGATGGACATCAACTGGACCCACCAAGCTTTGTGAAGAGCCTACGTCAGCACTTCAACAACCTGCGTCCAGTCAGTGGAACTAGACATGGTGAGAAGACGCCATACATTTATAAGGACCTCGCTACATGCACACATGTCTTTGTGCAGACTGACATCCACAAGGGAGCTTTCGAACCCCCAAAGCAATGCCCCTTAGCGAACCCCCATACTCTGGCCCTTGCCCTATTATCAGCAGAACTACCAAGACTGACGTTGTGGCGTTTAAAGGCTGTAATGTCATGGTATCGATGGACCGACTCAAACCGGCGTACCTTTGGGCCGAATACAAGGGCAACCGATGTGCATCAAATAATACAGGAAGCAACAAATCAAGCATGGATGGTCCAAAAGATACCAAGCAACCATTCAAGACTAGTTCAAGGGAATTAAAACCAGCGATTAAAACAAAATCTGGAAGACATGTACGCTTTCCTGTACGATTTAAAGTATCATGATTTACTTAAGTTAAATCATTAGCAGGGGGGTACGCAAAATGTTTATTTCAGCCCTGATAATGAAACAATTTTAGACAAAAAGTTAGTGCTACCAGCGGGATTCGAACCCGGCACCTTTAGATTATCAGCCCAGTACGCTGTCCACTAGACCACCGAGGCCGATGCTGTCCCATCGTATCGTTTTGGTAATGGTGTTCCCACAGCCAATCAGAAGCCTCCAAGTTACACTTTTGGCAAAACTAATCCTGAAATAAAAATACAGCGGGGGGGTACTGTCGTGAGTGCACCAATAAACTGTTCAATACCAGCTTACAATGATTATTGTTTTAAATAGTATAAATTTTGTTTTTGTTTATTCTAATGTGTTTCCATAGTTACCAAATTAGTTCATTCACTGGTTTTTGAACTTTACACTTGTGTTTTTTCATTCCAATTAAATTATATTTTCTGTCAGTTTCATAAATTATTTAATCCAAAAAGTTACAAACATAGCTAAAGAAGAACCTACTTCTTCGTAGAGAATACAGAATTTGTGTATGTTACCTTAAATTGCCTCATGCTCTGATACAGGCGGCCTAAGTTGCCATAGTGTTTTGCAGTTTGAACATTGTCTTCTCCAAAGGAAAGTCGAGTTAGTCTCAAAGCATTTTTGTGTAACTTTTCCGCAGTTTTCAGCAGTTCTGTTGCTGTAACATAAAAATATTTTTGTTGTAGAGACCAAACAATAGTAAATAAATATTGAAAACTATTAAAATCCTTCAATATGGAAAAACTAGCAAAACATTATTTTATTCTGATTCCTTTTTCTTAAGCATTTCAATCTGAAATTTACTATTCAGTTAGTCCTTTATCCGTTTGTGCAATTTTGCATACACGGTGGCAGTATATTAATTATATTAGTCGTCACTTTATATTGTTACACCTTTTGTGGCTCTTTTCTGGAACATATTTACTGTACTATGGATAGTGTAATTTATGGGTCTATCTGTAATTTATGACAAAGATTTAAAAAAGGTATAGAAGATTTTATTTATGTACAAAGCTATAATCTACACAAAGGAAGAAATAAATTTTGTACAACAGAGTAGCATCTACTTTCTGAGTGGCGAGTGATAAGTCACATTAGCTCTAGCCTTCAAAAAATTAAAATAATAATAAATAATGTAAGAACTGACTAAATTTGAAAAATGAAAAATACAACAAAAAGAAAAACATTCTACATATTTAAATAAAAATGTATTATGAGAATAACTTACATGTGGCGTAGCTAGTTCCAGGGATGTTGTCCAGAGCAATCTCCTCCAGGATGAGAGCATGCACTCTCTGTGCAGATGCCAGCATCAGATGCTCCTCAGGCAGCAGCTGCTTCATCAGACGAATGGCTTTCTCTGCATTCTCTCTGTAAACATGAGTACATCAGAATATATCTACCAAAGCTGATTTATGTAGTATGTTTTGATTTTAATTGATTATATTCGTCCATCTGTTATGTATTATTCGTAAGTAAGTTACTTTGTACTGTCAAGTGTTTTAATTTTTGTGTTTTAAGTTCTATGTTTTTATTTTTTGATATTTTTTATTTTTAAGTCAAAGGTAATTTGTTTCTTGTTCTTATTTTACCCATTCCAATTTTTGCTTTTCAATTTTTTTTGCTCTTTGGCGCTTTATATCTTTATTTTATTAAGCCTAATTATCACTAACGTATTGTAACGGGTCCAGTAAATAATAATAATCGAACATAGACAAATGATTAATTATCGGAACAGTAATTAAGTTAAATAAATTATCAATATTAAATTCAATAATGGATGTTTGAGTTAGGTAACATGGTGGATAAATTAGGGTCAAATGGTTTAAAAAAACAATTAATTGTAATATATTCCAAGATATATGGCGGGATGAGAGCCGTGTTTGTTGTTGAGGAAGACGAAGGGTGATTCAAGACACAAATCGGTATCCTGCGCAGCAAGTTGGAGTGGGTTGAGAACTACCGCAACGCTTTTGGGATTCAAAACGGAAATTTTCCGTTTTCATGGTGTTGGCAGTTCTCGGGTTGAGTAACCAACGTGCACACTTGAGGACGGGGCAGGCGGCTTCACTTCTTCACCGGTCATCTCACAGTCAACTCCTTCGCCAATCGTAGTGGTTAAGACTTATACCAGATGGGTAACAACCCTATACTACCCGTCGTTAATGTTGACAGTTTAGTCCGGTGTTATTGTTAACGTGCCTATTTTGAGGGGGGGGGGTCAAACTGGCCTATTTATTTGTCCAGCCTAGCCCTAGGCATAGCCCACAAGCCCTAACTAAGGTTATAGGTTAATTAACCAACTAGTAAATTAGCTTATATGGGTGATTGTGTAATAAAGTTTATAGTAAGTTTGTATTTATTACCTGATTCATCCTCCTTAACTGTAAGAAAATGCTGATCAAGAAACATTTCACATTCAACACCTCATTCCCCACTTTCATACTTGTCGTCAATAAGCGGAGCGGACGAAAGACTGAGACACGACGGTCGACGACACGACACGGGCGCGGCAGCTCAGCCGACCAAAATTTTCGGATATTTGCTCACCTAATCAATTTCCAATATTGACATTTTTAACTCTCACTATATTCAGAAGTTACAAGTTGTTTGAATGTACTTAAATAAAATCAATGATAGTGATAGATTATTTGAGGATTACCTTGCAATCCTGAAGTTGCCAGTTCTTTTTGTTTTTAAGGTTACAGATTAGTTAAGGTAACAATTAAATTAAGATAAACTACTTAATAATAAAATGTTTACTATTAAATTAAAACTGAAAGAAGAAAATTAATCATCCTCACTTATTTCTATATCCAGCCAGGGGGTAAAATTCCAGGGGTAAAAATCCGGGCCATACATTTTGTGCTGACTTCATGAAAGGGGTAAAAGTCCGGGGGTTATATATCGTCCCGTACACTCTTGGTTTTTATAATTTGATGTATCATATCTATATATTTAATACACAGTTGTAAGTCTGTTTTCTCAGTCATTACTGGACCGATCTACAAGATTTGTGTCTCAAATTAAAGGGGATAGTGTGTAGATTTGCCGAACTTCCTTAGGATCTATGTTTTTTCTAAGGGCTACGACCTACAGCCCTTCAAAGGTCGAGTCAATACAATTCTTATTGAAGAATATAATACACAGTTTATAAATTATTTGTCAGCTGTTTAATGATTGTCAGACATTTGTTATTATTTTTATAACCTCACTTTCAATGTAATTATTAATCTACGAGTTCCTGTTTATAAACACACGATTTTGATCAAGGAAAAGTGTATTTGTTAACTTTTTATACCACAATGTATTATTTATAAATGTATTTGAACATTATTTGTATGTTTTGGTGTAAATTTTGCATTTTTGAAATGTTTTAGTTTCCCTGCGAATTTATCTGAAGGAAAGTGGTAATTGAGTTTAAGCATTGGCTATTATATACCATAACTATGGTAAGTTATGGTACCATAACTATGGTAAGTTATGGTACCATAACTATGGTAAGTTATGGTCAATGGTTTAAGTTTGAGTATGGAATGTGAAATAATACCCATAATAGGGGACGGAAACTTATTGTTTTGATCAATATAATTTATTCTCTATTGCCACCAGAACAATCATTGGGAAATGCACTTGCAAGTTGTACAGATAATTGCTAATGAGTGGGAAAGATACAAACATTTTATCGTAAGTGATTTATCTTACTCAAGATCAGTGTTTGACGTTCAGCAGTACCACATTTTACCTTCTCGAGATGGAGAGTACGCTGGGATACGTTGAGTTACAATTTATCAGTAAACTATAATACCCTAACTTTTTTTAAAGTACACAGGAAAGTTGCTTGAGAAACTGTGACACTTGCGATTTCGGTTCTGGCAAAGAAGTATGTGACTTAATGTTTAAGGGCAATGTTGACTCGGGTCATTACAGCGTTATAAAACTATATCATTAAACCCAGGGTGTAAAAAGTACAAAATGAAAAAGAAAAAGTAATCATTAACCGGGCGTAAAATATACAGACGAAAAAACATGTAGAGAACCATCGAACTAAAAAAGTAAAGAGCAGTGATGGTGTTAAATGTGCTCTGGAAGTCCCTACAAAAAACACCAACTCTTTTTTGAATTGGGGTCGTTAAATTTGTTTTGTCACTACTGCAAATATACGAATTACGAGTCAGAACAGACTAACAGGGACACAAATATATTTTCCTTATGTTGTCACAAGGGTAAGGTAAAATGAGTTCCTTATCAACATTTTGAGTGTGAAAAATCTTATCAACGGGGCTGAAAAAACTATTTTAATAATATAATATCATACAACTCTGCATTTGAAATGGTGAGTTCTAAGTCTCACTTGAATCAACATCTTTCTAATAGTTAAGGGTGTAGCATAGAGCACAAGGGCCTAGATTTTTTAGGATTTTTTGAGAGGATAGCAGGCTTACCTGAATGGGAAAGAGTCCAAACTGGCACAGGAAACACAAAACAAAACTTTACACTATATACACAAAACATTAGAATATTTCACTGTCACTGACAGCATTTTCAACTAAGGAAGAGAGAGTTTTCTAGATGTCCAAAATGGTGGCCAGTGAGTTGTTGAGTCAGTGTTGCCAATAGTATGAATTCAAAAAACACAGTTTCAGTTTATCTTATATGCACTATATATATATGAATAAATATGTAAGCCTGCTAGTTGGGTTGGATATTGAAGTGGAGTGGGTTAGATGAAAGGTATTATCTCAGGTTTAGGTTTGGGTTGGGGGTTGTCTAGACTTAGTAAACCATTGATAAGACAATTCCCATCTTCTCAGTTGTGACTGGTTACATTGAGGAGGCAGTGATTTGACTATTTTGGTTGTAAAGCAGTCATTGAAACTAGGGTTGTTGTGGCTCTGGGCATGTTGTACAACTGGTTTGTCTTTGTATCCAGTAGATACATCTTGTCTATGGCCATTCATCCTGGTTCTGAGGCTATTGGTGGATAGGCCTACATACTGTGCCTCACATTTGTTACATTGTAGTTGGTAGATAATGTTCTTCGTTTCACAAGTGTTGAAGCCTCGGATGTTGTAGTTTTCTTTGATAGTGGTAGTCTATATAATTTCAAGATCCGGAACTCCTTTTACCATCGGATTGGACCGTTAATACCCTCTAACATTGAACCAAAGTATGTCCAGCTTTATATATGCGACGTAATCACAGCTGTTACTCACAGAATGGGTCAAAGATTTGTGAAATGCGACCAACTGCTGATGCGTGATTTACATGTAAGTGACTATCTTTATTCCATACGACAAATGTAATAAACAAAAAACAACGAATATAGGAATATACATGAACAAATTATCTCTATAGCATAAGTAGCTGCTTATTAGGTTATCAGCATTGCACAGTTTGTATACTATTAATTTTTCAAATGAAACTCGAATTAATATAAACAACTATCAGTTCTATTTCATGTAAAATATTAAGTAGCCCCTAAATAAAATACAAAGATAAACAGTATTTGTTAATTCATTATTAAGTTTTTTATTGCTAACAATATTCCCGTTGCGGAGCACAGGTTTACTACCTAGTTCTGATTAAATTCACAAACGTGAAAATATACGTTTCATTCCAACTTTAATCCATCGAAACTGATGTGCAGCTCAATAGTTCGCGGGTGGAAATTTACCCCCTGGTTTTTGACGTCAGTTTTGCCCAGGGGGATAAAAATCCGCTTCCCCGTATATTGATATTTATTTGTTGATTCGACTATTTTTTACGGCACCTTGCTCATATGACTGTCTTTATTTTTTTCTCATAGATGATTACTCAAGTTGAAATTATATCCTTGGAAAGTAGAAATTAATGATTTATTTATTTATTTTATTTATTTATTTATTTGACGGTAACAACCATTTACAATAATATGCTAATATGCTAAAAATTCTAACAAAACAATACATATGAAAAATTTGATGGCTAACATTGGTATGGTGTGTTAACATTAGGGGTGGGCAAGTACTCGACCTTCGAGTAATTACTCGAATTTTTTCAAATTCGAAAATTCGAGTCGAGTAGTTATAAATAGTGCCAATTCACGATTTTCTACACCCATATTTAATAAATTATATTTTGTTTTGTGTTGATGCCTTATTTAATCCCCATTCCTACAAAAAAACAACTATCTAACCTCATATAGGTTAGACCAGCGTAAACCAAATGTTCAACAAACACCCATCGTCATTCGGCAGAGCTAGCAAGAGGACTACTAACAGACTTTCACTTTCCTACAACAGCCAACAATACGTCTCGATAACGATACAGTAAGTTGAAATAAAGCATTGAATGAATCTATCGAGCTGCAATAGTCAACAAGGGAGTCT